GACGGCGACATACTTTTAGAGCAATGAAAATTGCAGAAGTAAATTGAAAAAAGGCATTTGTTTAAAAACAGTGAATATATCGAGATTGAGTTTCTTAGAAACGAAACTCGGCGTTATTTGTCATGTGGCAGGTGGCTTTTTCTGCATTTTCTTTACAATCGAATTTAAATGCTTACGCGCATTATCGAATGCTTTAAATCTTCCTCCAACTCTTAGCAGTAATTTTATTGACAACTGTTGCATTTCGTGTTCTATAGCAAAAGAACTAACCGTGTGGCAGATAATGTGATGGCAGGTTGAACAATGTAGCATTCGTCACTAACTCTTGAGATTGCTGGTTTGATATCTCCTTAAAAATATATGATGGGGTGATCTCTTACACAACTGCACATGCAGTAGGTTTCTATTTATGAAAAAATTTCAAAATTTCTGAAATTAAATATATATATATTATATGTAAACCATCCAAGTTAAAAGGAATAAAAGTCACTCATTATACCAGAGTCAAATATCTCGAATTATTCTTCTATAGCAGGCGCAACTGGAACCGAAATTCGGCGCTTCTTCGTTCGATGAAAGCCATCACTGTACTCTACGCATGCAAAACGACCATTGTCAGAAGATGTGACCTAAACCGCCTGTTTTTAAATAGCGTTGATCAGTCCCGTTCTATTCTACGGGGTTACTGTGTGGTACTCGAAAAAACAGTATTCATGAGCAAACTGGAATAAGTTCAGCGGTCGACAGCAATTTCCAACAAATTGATAGGCACGTCGCTACAGAGCACCACCGGATATTGTCTTCCGCATGAATTTCAACGGAGTGAGACCACGCTATTTGCACATACTGTTTGACCAATCTGTTCTTCACAAGAACACCGAACAGGAATCAATCGTAAATGCTTCAGATCACTGTGACTTCGCTATCACTGCGGAGGCCTCTAAATTCGATTAATGGGTAAGGCTGTAGAAGTCACTCACCAATGCCCTCCACCAATTTTAATATAAGATGAGGCTACCAGACAACTGAAGGCTCCTCCAAGCACAACTTATTACAGTCACGGAAGCCGCAGAATGGTTTACTGGAATCTCGGGTTACCAGCCGGCTAATCAAAATAAACTCGGATAGCCAAGTGTGCCATCGAATATCTTCAATAATAAAAAAAATAGATAAAACGCATAAGCATTTTGAATAGGCTCCAAGCTAGGTGATACAATGCTGTGGTCTGGGTGCCCAAATATGGTGACATTACGCGTGGCGAGTGATTCGGCTACTGTATGCAATAATTCGGTTACTGTATGTGTTGTGTGTTACGTAGCCTCGTCTTGTTGGAACCAAGTATTGTTAAGATCAATTTCTTCCAAGTTGGTTATCAACGATCTATGCCGTTTTGACAGTAACCGAAGATTGCACCAGACCAAAAACCACACACACACACATGTGGACTTCGTTTGCACCATAACTGACAATTTTGCTTATCTATTTACCAAACCATTCAGATAAAAGTGAGTAACATCGAAGCAGGGATTTTCTAAAAAAAAAGCATCATTATTTTCAAGTTGTTGCAGATCATTGCATATAAAAATGGTCAAAATGACACTAAGAAATCATATCATCCCTATTGGGAAACCCTTTTTATTCCTACCCTCCACAGAATTGGCTTAAACGTATAGTAAGAGAAAGAAGAGGAGTGTTGAAAATGTGGTTTATGGTACCACTTCTAAGTGTGCGCCGGCGCACGAAATATTGATGTCTTTAGTTTAAGACTTCAGCATTCGAAAATTTAGTTGAAAAGTTGTCTCTAGCTCGAAAAACTCATTACTGTATCGTTCATAATGCGATAGAAGTACCCCAGATGTCTCCAGTGTTCTAAATACGCATACGTTCCGAGGTCCTCACATCGACTTGGAGCCCATTTTTGTTGTAGCGCCAATGTACCACTGCTAGGGGAAAAAATGACTGTGACTAAAAAACAGGAAAGGCAATGTTGAGCTGAAATGAAGTGAAAACAAACTGCCCACACGACAACCTTGCGATCGCCTACAACACGTGCGGGATGAGACAAACACTGCGAGCTGAACAAGGAAGCAAAACGCATTTGCAGACAAAAACAAAAGAGAAGAGGTCAAAATTTTCGAAAATGTTAACATCAAAATCGATTTAGTTTCCAACCTAATTTTTTTTTTTTTTTTTTTTGAGTTTTATAAGAGTAAGAGGAAATGTGTTAAAAATATGTATACGCATAGACAATCTTAGACATTTTTAAAAAAGAAAAAATAATGAAAAATATCTAAATGCCAAATAAATCAACTGCAAAAGGATTTTTTCACGGTGGCGGCACTTCATCTCCATCATAAGATTACGAGCAGTTGGAAAGTGAAAATCATTCTTGTTTCGCCTTTAAGAAGTTATTATAAGAAATAAACTGTCCAACAGAGATTACCGCGAATTACACCAAACAGAATTAAAACAGCGCAGCTCCCAAGATATTATGCAAGTCTCTTCTCAAAATCTAATGATCCAGCACACTTTAAAGATACTCTTAAGAACGTGGTTTGGATGCTTTTTTGCAGAAATTTTTTTTTGAAATAATGTGCTGATCTTCCAAATGATTTTATCCAAAAAAATATTCAACAAAGACATCATTATGCATGCATAAAAATGCATACCACCCCAAGACCATCGACTACACCAATACAAACTTAAATACCGTATAAATAGTTGCCTTAGACATATTTGTATGTGTTTAGCTTACGTATAGAGATTCAAGGAAATACGCAACAATAAGACTAGCTACAATCGTTACGGAACATGCTTTTGCTTCAGTTAACGCTCGTATATTTATGATAAATAAACACACACACACATACACACACACTCACATATGATTATACAAAAGTGTTTTCTTTGTATTTTATGCAACCATTTGCGTGTGCAAGTAGAAGTATCAATTTCAATTGTATATGGATATTTACATACACACCTACATATGATACATTTTATCGTTATTGTTTTTGGCATTTTACCCACACTCATGCACTTTGGGGATACGCACATGCATTGGCAGCTTTTATTTCCTTGCAATACTAATAAATTCAATGGAAATTGTTTGTATGCAATCAAGTCAATGCAAACAGGGGAGCAAACACACTCAAGTTCCATATAAATGGATTGCATTTTAAAGCAAAACTGTTGCTATGGCAGCACCAACAATACCAACAACAGCAACAACAGCAATAGCAGCAACAGTGGCAAGACGAATAACAACAATGCACTACGCATTTATACAACAATACATCTGATATTTTCAATACATTTCATTTCAGTTATTCCCTCTGCTCGGCGCACTCAACGCATCATGGCGCTCATCACTGTTGATGCTCTTCTTGCTTGCCATGTCTCACAGGTCGAGTCAATGGTTGCTCAATCCTTTCACTTATATAGTTGGTGTTGAGTTGTTCAGTTCTCTCTTGACGACTGTTAGAGCAGAGCAGTGGCAGAATTGCAGGCAACAATAGCACAGACGTTTTACTGTTATTCTTTTGCTTTTTATTTATAATTTTTTTGTATTTAAAATAAATATTTGCTTTCATAATTTGACGGCATAATAAAAGTTTGTATGTATGTTTTGCAGCAAAGGTATACCACGCCATATATTCAAAGTGTTTGTGTAGTTCTACATACATATAGATAAAGAAATCATGCATATGACTTCTTATTTGAGGCAGCTGCACCCAGTAAAGTTTTCCACAAATTGAAATATTTAATGATTGAGTTGAGTTTGTTAGAAAATATGGTTTATTTGAAATTTAAATAGAAATATAAACAAAATAAGAAATACTAAAAACTATATAAAGTTAAACGAAATAAAAACCTGTATAAACCTTGTTGAAACCACCTGTCGGGCAAGTCAAACTCTTGCATTTTGGGCAAGAAAAGGTGCTCCATGGCCGCTGAAGCGAATTTTCGGCTGAGTTCCTCCTCCGATTTGTGGTTTTGCGTCTTGATGTTTTTCCAACAAATGGAATGACCTGTAGTTTATACCAAGCCGCCTCCGAACGACTGATGGGTTTTTTATGAGGATATTCGCTGCAGAGTGGGGAACGCAATTAGAAAATTTAACTAAATTTTTTTGGATGTTAGTACGTCACCACGATTTGTAACCAAATCTTCCGCATTGCAGTACACAAAGTTAATCTCTCGGCTACTGTGGCCGCGAAACCTGTAATTTAACTTTCAAAGCTATAAATTAACCCTAACTCTGTTCATTGGCATTTCTTATTTTTTCAGAACTCAGCTTGTCTAGAATTTTTAAAATGCCTTTATTGAAAAGAAAAAATGTTAACTTAAACTTAATAACATTTTTTGTTTATTATATTTCAATTTCTTTTTCTTTGTTCTTTTTGTTGGCGCTAGAAACATCCCAAAATAAGCTGAGTCTGTTCCACTTTGTCGGGGCCTTATAAAGGGTGATTTTTAAGAGCTATAGGAAAATTTCCAAAGAAAACACATAAAGACATTAGATTCAATATAGTCAAGAGGCGTTAAATCTCACGATCTAGGCGGCCAATTAACCGGTCCCGAATGTAAAATAAAATGTTCACCGAACTCGCCTCTCAATAACTCCATTGTTGTGCGTGCTGTGTGGCATGTGCTACCATCTTTTTGAAATCACATGCCAAGTCAAGTCAAGCTCTTTCATTTTGGGCAAAAAAAAAGTTTGATATCATCTCACGGCAGCGCTCAACACTCACAGTTATGTTACGATTCGCATCATCTTTGAAGAAGTACGGTCCAATAATGCCACCAGCCCATGAACCGCACCAAACTGTGACTTTTACTGGATGCATTAGTAGTTCTTGCAATGCTTCTAGCTGATCTTCAAATCGACAATTTCTGCTTACTTACGCACTCATTAAGCCAAAAATGAGCTTCGTCGCTGAACAAAACTTTTTTTTGAACTGTCTTAACAGAGCACGCATTTTGATAATAAAATTCAATAATTTGTAAGCTTTGTTCGTTTGTAAGGTGACTCATGGTTAAATTATAGACCAAACTGAAGATGTTCGTCAGTAATACAAAGCACGAAACGAGCGTCAGCTGTTTAAACCAGTGTTGCCAAAACGAAAGTGGCTAAAAAAATCACCCTTTATATGCTTGTTTCTTGTTCTAGATTCCAGTCCAAGTAAACTCATTAAGCTACTGGGCTATCGCCGATTCGTAAAACTGACAATCACATCGATTATGTTGGTATATGGTAGACCAGTCTCGAGAGTATTTATACTCTGAGGACCCAACATCGATTTGGGTCACTCTACTCTGCGCGGCAAAGAATATCCGTAAACAAACACAAGTAAGGTTTTGACGTCAAAAATCTGAAATCAAAATAAACGGTCAAATATTTTGCCACTCGAGTTGCACTCCTGCTCACTGCAAGAACTTATCAGCAACTCAGTGTAAAGGTACTGTGGAATGTCATCTAAAACTCTCTATCTTACGCCGCTATGGAAATAATTGGTTCTCAACAGTGCCAAAATAGGAGCTGGTATGATGATCCTTGTTAAGGCGCAGTGTAGAAAAAACAGGCTGCCTTCCTGTCAATTTTGGGATCCACCAAGAACTTGCGAGATGTGATTGAAGTCGATGTAATGCCGGGTTGAGCTATTCAAATGCGCTGGCGAGGAACAGAAAAAGTACATGCGTTAGTTTTTCTGCATAACATTATAGGCAGAAATGCATGCTCTACATTAATAGATCCTAAGTGTGCTCTGCCCAATCCACTCCATTAAAAACTAATTAGACCTTAGCAGTGTGGCATTAAACCTGATAAATCCATCATTGACCACATATTCAGAATGGTCCAAGTCTTTGAGAAGACGCAGTTTTAAATTTACTTTCTGTAGGGAGCTCTCTGAATTCAGTAATACTGCACGCGTAGGTAAACAGACCGTAGAGAACAATGGAAGCCTCTTCGAGCCGTTGAGTATCAATCAGGGCTCCAAACGAGGTTTCGCAAGGCATCGTGCGACTTCTGAAATCCTTTGCTGCATAAAATAACCGTAGAGCTGAATAGAGAATGTCCATTATTTTATAAAAGTGTAAAATTGCATAGACCTTAACAGCAGCACAGTTAGTTTTGCTTTCTTCAGGCAAGATAAGAAAGTAAAGCGCAAATGCCAGGTAATGAATAAGGGCCAGACGCAATACCTCACCCAAAGCATTGCTGCAAAAAAAGGCAGAACATTTTTAAAGTAGGCCGTAAGACAAGCAAATAGAAGCCCATCCTGTTTCTGAGGATTATTTGTGAACCAAAAAAGGAAAAGAATCATCATGTTATCAAAACCGCAAGTCTGAAGCAGAGAGATGGCAAAGTGGTTGTAGATAAGGTTATCTGGACAATAGTTATAGACCATCGTGGCTTATAAACAAACGTGCATAGATGTAATATTCTCGCCATTGCTATGGATACCCGAACTTAAAGTCGTGAAGTTTCTAAGATATCTACTTTAAGCTGGCATAAATACGAACAGTCAGTGATATATTCCTACTGGGCACAGGTAAGACAGTAAGTCTATGGTCAACGGACTATAGTACCAACAGCTAAACTTCACACGATTTTTATCCCAAAAATTTTGTAACGCCTAGGAATGTTTACATCTCGAAAGCTCAGCACTCCTACGGGAATTAAAAAGCAATAGAAGCAATTCACTTATCGACACTTGAAAATTGAAAAAATGCCACGGGCGTCTTTGGAAACAAATCAAGAGCTCTAAATGGGATTGTGCCCGGTCCTTCGGGATTGAGCACTCGCCTTGCTAAGCTGAAATAATATCAAAGCGCAATGGGTATTGGATATTGTAACGCGAGATGTGCACATATATAGGTGCACCGCGCTGTGTTGTTGTCGCTTATATATTTTTCATGAAGTAGAAAGGAAAGCAGCCAGGCATGCACAGATACCCTAGGGGTCATGCGTTCAAAAACTTACCCATGGTAAGGCAAAGCTTATGCTTGTTAATTAACAATGCAGAGCTCAGGAGTTTTATGCAGGGAATGACAACCACTCCCAAATTATTACAAGAATAACCATTTGGAGAATACTTTTGTAGTATCAATTACAACAACAGCCAATGCCTATAAAAATTTTAATATTTCCATATGTAGTAATAGCAAGCGATAAGAGCTGGGCCCTGGTCTTTCCAATGGTTTAGAGGTCTTTCTCTTCCTCAGCTTCCACCGGCTTACCATTTTAAGGCTGGATTATTTTATACAACCGGACCATATGACCTAGTCAGCTCAGCTGCTGTTGCTTGATTCACTAAACTATTTCGATGATGCTGTATATTTTGTACATTTCATCATTCCATCGGCTGCGATATTCACCATTTCTAACACGTAGCTAACTATAAGTCTTACGCGAAAACCATTCTTCACAACGACCTACTCCCTTCCACTTCTTGGACGGCGGAGATGCCAGACTCTATTCCTTACAAAAATAAATTTTAACACACAATTTAATAAAACAGAAAATTATTAATAAAAATTTATAAATTTTGTTTTATTTTAACTTATTTTTTTTTTTTAGATCTACATAAGTGTCGGTTCAGGTCCGTTTGACCAACCTGGTTTATATGAGAATTTTGTGCTTTTATACATGAGTGTCCACGCTGTTGGCATATAGCCAGGCAATGGAATGAACAACATTCACCAACAAAGCAGCAGTTAGAGTAAGCCAGGTCTCTTTCCAAAAAAATATATATAAATATTAATAATAAACAAGAGCTTAAGGACGCCAAAAAGTAAAGTGACAATGATGGAGACAAAAAAATTAAAAACAGCATTAAATAGTACTGCAATGCCACATACAAATAGCGTAAAGGCGCAGTAAATTAAACGTCAAGTGTCAAGCGAAAACAACAACAGCAGCCATAGCTTTCGCATAGTCAGTTGCAGTTCCACGCTTATTTTGGTAGTTAGTTATATATATATATATATCTGTGCGCATGTAAATGCCTTTGTGGGCCATTTGTCGGGTATTTACAAAAATATTATTATATAAAACACATTGTTGTTGTTTTAGTGTATGTAATAGTGTGCATATGATAGCATTTCATTTCAAACATGAGTCCTGTCCAAGTACACATTTTATTACAACATAAGTCAGCGGTTGCACTCAACATGAAAAACAGCTGTTGTGAGGACAACAAAACAACAAAAAAAGCAATAGCAACTGCAAAAAATACCAACAATGTCAGTTTTACCAAATATTGTACGCACAAGAGGTCTTAATGGACTATTGTAGATTTGTGAGGCAGAAAATTAATTTTACTCACTGCAAAGTGTAGTAAGAAAAAAGTCAAAAAAAAAAAAAAACACACACACAACAATTGTGATAAATGATAAAACTGCTGTACTTACGCGTTGTATGCGTGATATTAAATTGAGTCAAGATAAAGTAGGGAAATTTGAAGAAAACAATAGCAGAAAGAAAATTCATTCAAACGTAAGCCACAGAGTGTACACAACAGTATTGTGAGCAAAAAAGTATAATTTAGGAAAAAAATAAAGAAATTCTTTTCAAAGCGTTTGAGTAAATTTCCAAAAGAACTTGCGTAAAAAAAAGCTCTCAAACATAACAAAAAACTTTTATCTCAGTTGCTGTTGCGTCTAATTAAAAGTCGCTCATACGGCATGACGCACGCTCCAGCTCTGACAAACACAGCTAACGCTAAAAATATTACACAATATGCCTACAGCCACGAAGTTTGCGCGTTGGCAATGGCATTTCAAATGAAATAAATTCCATGTTTTTATATAGGTGAACAATTGAAAGCGTTTTGTTGTAATTTTAATTAATGCCAAATACTGTTAAGGCGAATTTAAGCCTTTTTCATGTAAAAAGCCAAAAGTTTTTTCCCCTGCTGTGTTAATGTAAAATTTTATCTATGTAATTGAATTTTGAATTGTACATATTGAAAAAGAAAATTCCAGGATATTAACGGATATTCCGTATGGTGATTTACCACCATTGCATTTAAATAAATACATTTCTTCAAAAAATAAACTGACACAAAATTATAGAAAATAGAGTAAAATAATATTTAATTCGATAAAACACAAAACAAAAAGGAAATAGTAAATAAAAAATTGTTTAAACTGAGATGAGCAAAATTTGAATAAAACGAATTAAAAATAAAATTGAAATTAAATAAAATAGCAAAAAATAAAATAAAATAATAATAAATAAAAATCCTATCTAGAGAAAACTAAATAAATTAAATTAAATAAAAAAATCATTTTACATTAAAATAAATTTAAAAAAAAATGAAATAAAATTAAATAATATATATAACATAAAATAAATAAAACTAAAAATAAAATTTTATTAAAAAAATATGCAATATCAGGTGTACAACTTTACTTTTGCCGTTTTTTTCCAAAATTCAAAGCTTTATTGCGAAAAAGTGCTTACGGATATATTATTCAAAGTATTGTCCATCACTAGCGACAACTATCTCCCATCTATCCGGCAATTTTCGGATCCCGGCGCGAAAAAAGAGTCCTCCTTTGACGCTATCCATGAAGCAATCCATTTTTCCAATTCTTCGAAGAATTGAAAATGTTGATCTGCCAGGCCGTGTGCCATCGAACGAAATAGGTGGAAGTTAAAAGGGGCGACATCTGGGGAATACGGCGGGTGGGGCAAGACTTCCTATTTCAGCGTTTCCAGGTACTTTTTTACAACTTTTGAGACAGGCATTATCATCTATGTATTTCAACCAGCCTCAGCCGGTACAGCCACCGATCGGTAAACGGCGGAAGCAAAGTTGTACACCTGATAAAACAAAATAAAATAAATTATATAATATATTAGAAAATATAAATAAATTACAATAAAAAATTAAAAATTAAACTAAATAACTGAATATAATAAAATAAATCAAATTAATTAATAATTAAAAAACAAAATAAAATTTACTAAAATGAAATACAAAATATTATTGTATAAACAAAAAACAAAATAATATAATTTTAAAAAAGATCAAATAAAAAAATAACATAAATCCCAAATGGGAAAGAAAAAATAACATAATTTTTTTAAGTAAAACAAACAGCAAATAAAACGAATTTAAATATAAAACAAAATAAATTAGAAGGAGAAAAAAATGAAAAAAAAATAAATAAAAAATTTAACCAAATAAAACAAAATAATTTATGACATTTTAAATTAAACTCAATAAATTAAAATAATCTTAAATTAAATTAATATAAATTAAATTTCTTCAACTTGCACTAAATAAAAAAGATTAAAATAAATCTGTTTAAAACTAAATTAAAAATTAAACTAAATAAAACAAAAAAATATATAATAAGAAATATAAGAAAAAGTTTACAACAAAAAAAAAACTAGATAAAACAAAACAAATTAAAATATTTGAAACCTTTTTATCCTAAAATGAAATACAATATAATAAAATGGTATAAATTAAATAATATTAATTAAAGCTAAATAAGATTAAAAAAAAAAACAAAAACAAAGAGAAAATAAAATAAAAAATATCAAAGAAGATAACATAAATTAAAATGGTATAAATTAAATAATATTAACCAAAGCTAAATAAAATTAAAAAAACTTAAACCTTAAATTAAAAAATTAAAAAATATTAAAGAAGATAACATAAAATAAAATGATTTATATCAAAACCTAAAAAAATTAAAATTAAATAAAATTGAAAACAAAAATCAAATAAAAAAACTTATATAACAGCAAAAAAAATGAAATAATAATAACAAAATGAAAGAAATTAAATTAAAAAAAAAATTTAAAAAATTTAATAAAATGATTATAATAACTAAGAATGTCGAATATTTTCAAGACTGAGTTTTTACTGAAAAGATATTCTAGTCAGTTGGTATGTGCAATATCAGCAGGGGCGACTGTAGATTATCAGCTAACAACGGCAAAAAAGCTGAATAGACAATTCTATTTACCTGGCGGATTAACCATCATAACAGTTAAAAAGACTGAAAAATACATTTTGGTCTATATTTTCATGCAGGCTACAACACAATAAAAAACTTAACTATTCGAAATTTAATAATATCATTTTCTATGGTAATTTATTTTACTTCCAAATGTTTCCGCTGAAAATTGTACAAAATAATATGCATGAAATCACTCCATTAGTATTTATATATTTTCCTATACTAAATATGTACTTATGTATATTTATTTGACATATTACCGCTTATCGGTAATGGTGTGAAGTGTTGCCATTAAATTACTTAATGGCTTATGTCAAAGGTAATAAATATTTATACTACTTCCTACCCCGCCGCTCATACACATGATCCGAAAGTGACAGGAAGTCAGAACAAAACACACGCACATATTTACTGCTAGCACATAACATTTATGTATATGTATAAGAGTAACATATACAACTTAATATATATATAAATTATATATGTATATAATTATATATATATAACTACATACATATTTGCATAAATTCTTTCTTCATCCTCTTATCACCCTCTACAGCGCAACCACTGCGCCATTTCACGCTTGCACTACGTAAACGCCAAACGAATTTTTCAAGTAAAAAGCACTCAAATTAAATTTTGCTGTTAAGTTCGATATTCTTGATTGGTTTTTGTGGCGCATGCACACACACACACACACACACACAGTATATAACGCAAATTGGTATTGCCTGAGTTTCAAGTGCGCACATGTGTACAGGTATGTAGGTATACGTGTATGCACACACATATACTCATAAAACATATGTCTACATGCCTGCCATTTTAACAAACTCAATTTGTCATCAACAGTTGAAAGTGATTAATGAAAATGTGAAATTCATTTAATCCAACATGTGAAAAGTTTTCAAGAATTAAAAACGAAGGGTAAAACAAGAAAAGAAAATTATTGGCCAATATTTGAGCAATTACAGGAAAGTGTATTAACGTAAGCTTTTGAGCGGGTGTATGAAAGGGAGCATAAACTATATATGAGTGCTTGTATAAATACATCAACAGTGCGCTAATGTGACATATATGCACTGTTATAAACAAAAATGGCAAATAGTTCTCTTTGCAAGAAGACAAAGGTAAAATGTATTAAGGAAAATTTAATTTCTTATATGTGTTAAGTTTTATCTATATTTTATGACCGGTAGCTCATTAAGACCATAAGTTTACTTTATAATAGAATTAATTATCAAATCATTTAAAACTCCGACATGTGTAAAAACTCGTCTAAAATTTGCATTAAATTTAGAAAAAAATACTTCTTATTCTAACTTTTTTAGTTTATTAATTTCCACGTTACTCTTACACAGATTTGTTAAAACAAAAGTACACATTTGGCATAAAAAATATAGCCAACTCATTTCTTGCCTAATTTACATGTTTTAGTGACGCTTAACCGAACTTGGCTCCACTGACTACTAGTATCATTCATATTTTATTTTTGAAAATAACATAATATATGACGGGATATAAATTATCATTGAAGAATTTAGCGAAGCGGAGGCAGCAATAAAATATGCGCATTTTACTAAATTTAACACAGACAATGTCTCGAATAGACAAGCTGACATTTAACTTTCTGTATAATTTCTACGCAATAAATTAAACGCTTTATTACACATATACACCCACGTGGCAAAATGGGTTGGCTTGACAAATATTTTATGAAAAAAGCGACAATATAAAATAACAGGACTATAAAATATTGGTTTTCCTGCCAAAAAAAAAATTCGTTATTTAACTTGAAAATCAAAAAGTCAAAGTTATTTTATTTTATTTTATTTTATTTTATTTTATTTTATTTTATTTTATTTTATTTTATTTTATTTTATTTTATTTTATTTTTTTCTATTCTACTTTAAGTTATTTTAATTAATGTTTTGATTCTATTTTTTAAATTAGTACGTTTTGTTATATTTTAATTTTTTTTTTCGATTTTGCTTTATTTTATTTACTTTATTTGAATTTATTTTTTCATTTTATTTTATTTTTTATTTTATTTTATTTTTAATTTTATTTGAAATATAAAATTTTATGATAACATACTTGTGGCATAAATGAAATAGCCCATTCTATATTAATAAGTTTTTAGACAATAACACTAAAATTTTTTTAGCTGGCAATCATTTATTTATCATGACATGGCTAGACATTAATATATTGTAATATATGATTTAGTTTTTTTGTATCACTGAAGGGCGTGCATAGACATTAAGCAAATTGTAAATTACTCATACGCCATGTATCGTATTGTTGCTTGATGTGTGGGTGTGTTTATGATTTGTATTTACCGTTAAATATTATCATCACCGCAAATTTTCATTGTTTGCGGTTCAATGGCTATGCAATACACCACCAACAGACACGCAGTAACACAAGAAGTGCCACAAGCACGCCTGTGCCGAGTATGTACGTGCGTGTTTATTCGTATGTGGTCATGTGCGTTATGCAAATCAATTTCTGCCAAGTTCAGTGCATCTAATCGCACGTGGCCAATTGGTGTTGGCAAATTCTCGATTCAAAGAGTGATTAAGTGAATGTGAAATGGTTGAACGTGTGAACGCTTTGCTGTGTTCACTTAATATAGGCGTATATATATGCTACGGACATTTCATCCCTCTAATAATCACTGCCAATTCCGAAAGATAATTATATTTGAGACTTACAGCTGCAACAACAATTACAGCAGCTAAAGTAATATTAGTATTTAAACAGATGGTAAATTCAAAGAAGTCTAGTTCAAAGCAAAGCGCTTGATGCTGCTTAAGTCACTGCTAAGATACATTTGGCAGGCTCATTGATACTGACTAATGGTGAGTTTGCTTGTTTGCCAGCAATGTTTGGGATTGGTGCATTTTCATTGCAAAGTCAACTGAGTGGCATTCGAAACTAAAGTATTTAAGCAAAACCAATACATAAATATGTTTATATGTTTGATTGCGTAAGTCGTGTGAAGCGTTTGCATTGTCTATACCATAAGTGCTTGCTGTGGCAGGGTAGTTCAGTGCCTAACTCGCCTGGCTTCTTGTTTTCTTATCGGAAGCCGGTCAACGTAATTTGCATAAATTTGTGGTAGGCCACAAACTTTGGATACTTTATTAATATCTACTCGTAGGAGTTATTAGTATATGCTTGCGCACACAGGTGCAGGTAGATAGATATAGCTCCTACGTAGCCTAGTTAAATGTAAAGCAGTCCGAAATTAGAAAGAGTCTTTAACTGCTGACTTAAAAAATTGTTCGTTTGTGGTTCTTGAAGACTAAAAAAGTAGTTGAAAGATTTATGAACTGTGAAGTATTCAGACCTTCATTTGGTCTATGAGCTTTCTTGAAGGCTCTTTCTAAAGCCGCCAATACAAAAACGGCTGTAATTAAATTAAATTAGATCCAAAGTATAGATCCGCATACACAATATGCCACTGTAGCCTTTTAAGAAATGAGTGGGAAAGTAAAACTCTTCTATCATCATTTGCTACATTTCCCTTCAGATACCCTATTTTAGTCCTTATTTGCAGCTATTTTACGCTCAAGCTTTCAAGAAGCTTTTTAAAAATACA